AGATCTATTTCCCCATCCTCATATATAAATATATTTACATATGTACACACCTTTATTTAGACCTCTATAAATGCCTTTTACCTCCTAGTTCTTTCCTCTTGTCCCACTATCATGTGCAGCCTTTATTTGGGTTTCAGTAATTCCTCTCAGTTACATTACCCTTGATCAAGCCCTACCAGGCCTCCTATACCCTGCTCACCACCGATTTGGATAACTTGTTTCCTTGTCCCTGGGTTTGTTAACACCACTTCCTTTCTTCCCACCTCCCCCTCTCCCACTTCCCCCCAGAACCATTGGTCCCCTTGTTTTCTCCTCCAGATTGTTCATCCAACCTATTTTATTTAGACAGACCTTCGGTGATAATAACATGCACGAAAACAATACAGAGCAAAGCAACAAAATAAAACAAAACAACAACAAAACCAATGACAAAAAAGAAATGAAAAGAAAAAAAAAGCCTGTAGTTAGTTCAAGGTCTGTTTGTTGGCCTTCAGGAGTGTTTTCTGGTTGAGTCTGATGGGGTGCCACACCCTGGCCCCAAAGTCTATTTTTGGTATTCCCTGGGGACTTCGTTGCTCTGTTCCCCTTGCTGTTCTGTTGCATGCCCCGAGTGTTTTGCCTCGTTATGGTGGGGTCAGATTGGGCACAATTCCCACACTGTCTCCAATGTTGTAGGACTTCTTAATAGTACACTGAGTTACCTAGAACTCAGGTAGTCAGTTTGGTCTCAACAGGTATGATTCTACAGATAAATACATTTAGGAAAAAGCCCAGCATGGAGTAAGAGCAAAATCCCTAGCAATTACTAATGCCATCATTATGTTTATACTCATTAAAGATAACAGTGAGGAGGAGCAAGCAACAAAATATATTCATTACATCCCATAGTAAACATATTTAAAATGTATATAAAAATACAAAAAGTACTAGACACTTACATAAGTCTCTGTAGAACACATTGTGGATGTTTCAAGCCCAAACTAATACGCTCTACTCCACTATCTCCCAAGGCATTGTCTGCCAGTGATAAATGTTTCAGGCTTTTACTTTGGATGAGGGCAGAAGAGAGATCCTCAGAACTTGCCACCATGAGGCCACAGCCTTCGAGGCTGAAACGACAAAGACACACGGGAAGAATGAGTTCAAATTCATGCTTCTCTTCACAGTCACTACATACACCTCAAGCCCAGTCATCCCCTCAGACTCAATTACATTATATATACAGTAGCAGCTGGGTACACAATATGATTAAACAATGTCTAGGAGGGAAGAGGAGAAGTTTGGGAAAATAGATAAAAAAGAATGTGAGAGGAAAGGTCACAATGATCATTATATATATGGTGAATGACATTACATATTAATATAAATGAAACCAAATATTGGAATGCTAGAAAAACAAGAAAACAGTTATATGTATGGGAATACGTGTGTGTGTGTGTGTTAGTCTGGGTTGACTAGAGAAACAAATCCAGAGGCACTCACATGTATGTAAGAAAGAGATTTATATAAAGAGCAATTTTATATTAAGAAAATATCCCAGCCCAGTACAGATCAAGTCCATAAGTCTGATCCAATATTAGCCCATATGTCTGATACCAGTCTATAAATTCCTCTTCAGATTCATAAACCACATGCAATGACGCTGAATGCAGGAAGATCACAGGCTTGTGGGTGGGAAGTCTTGTGGATCCAGCTGCAGTGGAAGCATATCAGTGCTGGCATGGGTCTCCACGTGACTCCTCCAGCTCCAGGGCTCTGGCTCCTTCAGTGTAGCTCCACATGGCTTGTCAACAGGAATGTGTAGCAGACAGAGTGTGTCTGGCCTCCAGTAAGCTATTTATCTCCTTATTTATCTCCAAATGATGTCATCAAACTGCGACCTGAGTGACAGGCTAAACTCGACCGCTTCCTCAAATTCAGAGTAGGTTGTGTAACTGCTACAGTGAGTGTGAGTGTGTGTGTGCGTGTGTGCGTTCTGTGTAGAACTTCATTTGCCAATGATTCAGTCAAAAGGGAAGCTGAAAGCTAAGAATAGTAGTATCACATTGACCTCTGCAAACGGTCCAGCAAACTGAGGAGATAGATGAGTTTGCATCTGGGTCCTTCTGGGAAGGCTGCCCAACCTATGCTCACAAATTATCTAACAACTTTCCTGATAAGCTATACATGGGTTTCATCCTATGAAACCCAAGGAGATGCAAAAAAGAAACGTTCTAATGGTATGTCAAAACAAAGATTAGCAGCAAAGTGTCGTCGGTAAATGGACAGAACAACGTTTCTTACAATAGGTGCCACTGACTGTAAACAACGTGATTGCTCACTATGTTTTCAGAGCTGCCTGATTATCAGACCAGGAGAGGCTGTTCTCTTCTTCTTCAGGGGCCTTTAGTAAATATTTACAGTGAAACAATCACATCAATATTAGTGATTGTGCATACCTTTTCAGGGTGTAGATGTTTTAAGGCTGGGAAATTTAAAGTTTTCTGAAATGCTGCGTTTCTAAATTTCCAAAATTCTTACAATCATTAGGGATACACTAAGGGAAAATCAAGGGACAAAAACGTACCAACTTCTCAATATTTTGATTGCCTGCGACATCGAAAATCAGTAGGGAGAATAAAGCATCAAAGTAGAATTGTGCAAAAGTTAAACAACATGATGTACACACAAAGCAGATTAAAGTACATAGTCAATTGTACTCTTCATAAGTCATAGCATGAAACCTAAAGCAAACAGAAGACTAAAACTTTTCCTACATGAAATGTTAATATAAGCCTTACAAGGCTACTAATTACTCCCCCAAAGTCACCAACACTGGGAAAACACCCAGTCTTACATAACACAGTCTTAAAAGATTACTATAAAGCACCCTTGTTGGTGGACATTGGACACAGGGCATAGTGCCCCAACAGACTAGACTGGAAAACACAAGTTTTTCTTTCTTGGTATATTTTAATTTCTTCTTTGTCAGTGGCTTGATGTTGTTGCTGTTTTGTTGTACATTGTTGCTTGGTTTTGCTCTGTCTTGTTGTTATGCATGTTGTCTCTGCAGGCCTGTCTGGATAGGACAGGCTGGATGAACAATCTGGAGGAGAAAACAACGGGACTGACAGTTCC